TCGCGTCAATTTATATAGACGATGTGCGTTTTAAAACGTTATTATTTTTCACGTTGTTTTTTACAGATAATACGGTTCGAAATTCCTGGACAGATTCGGAAAGCGATGAAGACGCAACGGTGACGATATCGACGACGACAGGGCAGCATCGGTAAGTCGTTGTTTCTTTTGCATTTGTAGCATTGTATGTTTGTGCGTATGTACATGTACGTGTCGGCGTGTGTACATACTTACGCGCAAAGATGTTTTGCGTCCAAAACGTGACGACGTCGTTTATGATACATGTTTACAGAATTCCCATTGGTAAAAATGCAGCAGCAAAGTCGTCGCGTGGTCCACTGTCCGTCAATCCCCACCTAAAGAGTATCGTCTCGTGCGCATCGTCGTCGTCCGCGTCGTCGACTTTAGTAAAAAATGCCAACAACAACAACAACAACGACAACGACAACGACGACGATGAAGCGCTGTTTCGCCGGAAACCGACGCATCGTAAACCACGCCGTCCGCTACCGCCGTCGTCATCGTCATCGGAGAATGACGACACTTGCGACGCGCGGCCAGTTGGTAAAAAAAGGACCGCCGCTTCAACTGCTGCCACGCAGAAATCGTCGCGCGTCGGCCAACACACGTTGCAGCCGGGTCCTCCAGGTTTTGCGGAAAAACGCCCAAGGTGAGCGTCGAGATAAATGTCATATACCGACTCGACATACATTCCATGTTACTTTGCAATTTAAACACGCCGCAATAAACTATGGATATATATTATTCACTTTCAGGCATCGATAAGTTCCGGCGACCCCTTGGGTCCAGAGCATCAAGTCCCCCGTTAGGTGACTGCAAGGATACACACATTTCATTTCGATCATGACGCACAACATTTATACACAATTTCCTTTATTTTGTACCGCGCGTCTTTGCCCAATTCAAACGACAATAGTTTTTTTTTCCTTTCTTAATTTCTTTTTTTTTTTTCACCGTGTTCTCAAAAGATGCTCTCCCCCTTCCTTACGTGTAGGTTGCTCAAAAACGCGCACAGAGCACGTCGTATCAACGACAAACACGCGTACAAATAATCTGTATTTTGGTCGGTGAATCGGACGCGTGTCGCGTGTTTGTATACAATTTTTTTTTCCATCCATGCGTAATTGAAAAAACATAATTGTGACAACATTATTAATCATTGAAATATATATTTATATATTTAAAAAAAAATTATACTTTGCACGTTTATAGAAACATGACTGCGCCTCCCTCGCCCTTCACAGCTCACCGTGAAGAATCCCCCTTACGTACCCGAAGGTGTAGCATTAATGCGTCATAGTTGTCCAACACAAACGCGTATATGGCGTTCAAATAAATATTAATAGATGTAAACACAAATCTATTAACCTTGTTATTGGCATGGCAAAACTGCTGCGAACAGTGATACGAAATGTGTCGAAATACATAATTACGTTTTGTACAAAAATCGCGCACTCACAAGTCGGACTTTGAAACATTTTAATCAAGAATCATCACATCGTGAAGTAGCATTTTCAACCGTCACACATGTATACGTGTCATTTTACTAAATCTTTTCATCTCTGATATTTTAATAAGAAGAGACAATCGTACAATTCGATGAGAAAGCCGTGATCGCGCGGTACGTTCAAGCATATATATATTTCCATGCGCATGAGGGTGTTTGGTGTGTTGATTTATTTATTCGGCTAGTTGCGCGTTTGATACTCTAAGTAGCCGTTATATATGCGTGTTTCATGTTTCGAATAATATTTAACAACGCGTGGCATCTCATTTTTCAATAATATGAATTTTTCGAAAAGTGAGTCAGCGCGTTTCTCGCGCACGTGCGCGCAATCTCTGCTACTAATTCACTAGCAGAAACAAAACTATCGCGGATGATTTTGCGGATAAGAGGCTACGTATGTGTGTGCGCGTGCGTACATGCCGAGAAATTATCTATATCGCTTCAAAGAAAAGGGATTTTACGACTTTGTGGAAGATACTTTATGCACGCGCGCACAACAAGACCTACAACGAAATTGCATCACATACGATACGCGTAGCGTGAAAAAAATTTTTGCGTCAGTTTACCAACGCGTGGAAAGCAAACAATACATCACCTTTAGTCCTATTTAATATGTATTTATACGAGGAAAAAGCTGTCGCGCGCGTATCGGTAATTTATACAATACGTAGTTTTTTTTGTTAAATATCAATAGTGTACCGTTAGCAAAAGTCGTTTTCTCGCACGTAACGCGAATGAATGGTGCGCGCGCGCGCGCGAACGAATGCTACGTTATCGATACGCGTTCGTATGTAGGTCCGTTTTTATAACGCGTGGCACATGCCTAAAGAAAAAAGAGAAAGAAATAAATGGGAAATTATCAACTTGCTAGAAACTTTCGCAACAAGCCCTCTTTTAATTTTTCACGTTTTAAATATTACTCTTTGTAAATATATGCGTGTCACAATAGTATGCGTGTCGGAGAAAGATGACGTTGTAATATATCTCGAGAAACATGAAATGCATAAAAAAAATGATTTATTCCGTCGCATCTTCATTTTATCGTCGTTATACGCGAGTAATTAAAAGTATGCATTTTGTTGAAAGAAATTTTACGTCGAATACGTAAAGGATTTGAATGCGTGGATATATTGCCGCATATGGTGCGGCTCGAGATGTGATGGGCTAGATGCGTGAAAGGTCCCGACTATGATTGGACGAGAGCGCAAGCTTGGGCTGTGATTGGTGGAGAACGCGAGACGGGGAGAAGCGTAAACGTGGAGTAGGGGCTCGAGGCGTTATACTATACGGCTACGGTCAATTGTGACGCTACAATGGCTTCGGAGCATTCTTCTTCTCTTTCTTTCTTCCTTGAAAGAAAAGAGATAAGGACGGTTTCGAAGCCGTTGTAGCGTCGCAATTGACCGTAGTCTAGCTCGTAAAACTGAAACATTGGCTACAAGTGTTTTATTATTATTGGAACATCACTCGCATCGTTTGCCCGCCATCTAGCCGGTTCTTGTTGTTACGACGCCGCCATAACCTGCGATACAACAAGCATAATGGAGGATACTATTGTGAGAAAGATATAAATTACATTGCGTACGTCGTCGATTGTTACGTTGTCAACGAAAAGGACGAGACGAATGGACAGTAGGGTCGCGCGCGCGAGTCCGTGTATGCGAAACGACTGTATAATATGGAACGATGATCCGGGGTCAAGTCAGACCACTACCCGAGTATTTACTCCAACGAGTGACGTGGTCGCGACGTCACACGACGCTTTGAGTTTTATCACCGCGCGCTACCAATGTAATATTTAATTTCGCCCTCCTGTGTCGCTCGCAATGTGATTTACTATAATTTTTTCACTCGCCACATTGTACAATAGCGTGTGTGTGTGTATGTGTGTGTGTGTGCGTGCATACGTATGTGTACTCGGCGATTGTAAATACATTTTTATAAGGATATGTTTTTAATACGTTTACAGTTTACAACACGGCAAACCCGATGAATTTAATAGCGGAATTTCCCGATGTAATCTCAGCGGTCACGAAGGTTTTTGAAGTGAGCAAGTGGAGTCTACATGTTAACCAACAAACATTGGATATCATTGTGTGTCCGTAATTGATAAACGTCTTCAAGTTTAAACTGTCAGATTTGTAAAACGTAACTCACAACGTTGTCGTAGATATGAAATGTATAGAAATGTTGGAGCACGCAAATTTAATTTGGACCGCAGATTGCGTCACTTTTAGAATTTGGCTCGAGTATGGAATATTTCACAAGGATACTGGTTATTGCAGCACAAGGGCACTCACGAGTGACTTATCGATACTTGATGTCAAAATTGTACGTATTCAGTCACTTTGGCCAAAAAGTCAACGGTATATCTCTTATATATTTTAACCAAACGCGATTAAAACATTTTTTGCGTGTGTGTGCACACAGGGTTCTGCTGTAAATGCCTTGAAGAGAGTACTCTTGTCGTTTGGAGAAGAAATCGACATAGAGCTGCGACGACGTAGGCCATTTAAACAAGGCAATGACCAGCATACGGTGACACAGACCGTGGCAAGGTATACTTTAAAAGAAGAAAATATTTAAGGTAACCGTCGTGCATCGGCACGACGAGTGCAGGGGATGCACGAGACGAATCACAATTTTACACAATAAATTTTGACTTTGCGAAAGACTTGAAGCGCTGTTACAAACATTGTTGCAGAAAATAAATGTGAAGTCGAATGATTTTACGTGTTTACGTGATCAACATTGAGAGGAGACGTTTAAAAAACCATTGATTTCAACGACGGCAACGCCAAATTTAGACAGTCTATCACAGCAAGAGCCAATGATATTACACTACATGTGTGACTTTATTCCCACCTAATTCGTTTTCGCATCTGTCACAAGCATAATTTTTGTCTACAACGTACACCGACGATTTTATCGCTGATGAAATGTATTATGTCTAAGGAAAGATTAATGTGTTGCACACAACGTCAGTTTCACGTAACATTTATGAAAACGACCTTTCTTTCCATTTCAACGTGCGAGACATAAATTTACGCATCAACAGCTTTTGATACAAAATATCGCGAGCGTGCCCGTGTCAAATATATGAAACACATTTTACATGTATATCGTAAAAAGTTAAAATTATACGTGTGCTATAATACAATATATACGTTGTACTATTAAATAAAAACGTGTCGTGTCCTCTACGTTTTATTTCATTT